TTTTTTTTTTTAATTTACGAAATCATTTTATGCATGCAGCAACACGCAACTGGAAACTATGTGCATTTGCCTTTTTTGCTGGTTTTTGTTGATATGCAGCGGCTGTTCAAAATATTTTGATAATGCCACTATTTTGTTCTACTTGGTCAGATTTACATTTGCTTATGAAATATATTTTATTCACAAAGTAATTGAGTGAAATTCAATTTTTTTCTAGGCAGATGATGTGATTAAAGCGGAAATGTTTGGTATCCTGAAGCATGATGTCAATGAAGATCCAATCGATGATATCTCTCTAGAAGATATAGAGGAAGCAGAAAAAATGATACAAAATGAATTACGACCGGTATGTACAAAGTGCAATATAAAAATTATGTCAGATTTTACCGATAATTCACATTTTTTGTTTTGGATTTATTTCAGGTTTATTTCAGGAAGAGCATGCTACTTTGAACGCAAATCTGTGGGCTGTTATTGAACAGTGTTCATCGGAGCTGATCTTAGCACAAAACAAATTTACTCGCTTAGGCGTTTTGCCTAAAAAGGATCAAATTGATGCTCTTTCAGCTAAATTCCAGGTAGAATATTTCTTTTTAAATTTGATTATTACATTTTTGGCTAAATTTGCTTTGGCAATTAGAAATTGAGATTGAAATCTGCATGGGGATAAGATTTGATAGTGTTCTTATTATGACAAAAATACATTTATTTTGCATGTTTCTTTGGCATAATAACACATTTTACAGCTTTATCGAGATTGGATGAATACACGTGCAAAAAAAACATCAAAAATGGAGAAAAAATTGAAAGTGAAACTGGCTGGTTATCAGGTATTTTTTCCTTTTTCCTTGACGATTCATATTTTTCATTTCAATAATTCAATCTCTTCAGGAAATTATAACTGAAGATGCTTCTTACAATTTTGTTTTATGGTATTGTCTTGTAAAATTCAACACTACACAGTGCAGCGAACAGTTTAATTGTTAAATGGAATATCTTTTTAAAAAATTGTGGTGAGCACAAAGTAATCCATGATTTATTTGATTTTAAAATCAATGTTCAGAGCATCGGACAGCATTTGATAAAACTAATCGAAGAAGTAAGAGCGGAATTGGAAGCATGTAAACGTGAAAAAGCTACGTTTGAATTGTTGGAGAAGAACGAGGAGAAAGCAATTAGAAAACGGCTAAACAAACTTATGGAAGAGGTCACGCAGCAAGTTAGTTTATTTTTAGTTCGCTGAAGAAAATTAGACTTTACTTTTATAGACATTATTTTAAGTTTGACTAAGAATAATATAATTACTGGAGCATATCAGGCTTTTTCAACATAATATATATT